CCGCGGGGAGTAAATCCATTCTTTTCAATTGTTGCCTGAATACCAAGGTGTTTGTTCATGAACTACAAGAAGCCTCCTTTCCCCAAGCCCATCATTCCTGTACTCGGAGAACACGTCTAGAGTGGATTGAATCAGAATCCGGAATGCTAGGTCAGCTGCTAGGTGTTTCAAGGGTATAACAAAGCTGGAGGGTCTTGACCGTTCAGCCCAAAAGCTAAAATAGTAAAACAGGACGCACCACTCATGGATATCCCCAGACTCATAAGATGGTCATACTTGGGGCCATGGTGCATGAGCACTATGATGGGACATTGTGGGAACCCTTACCCCCTACTAATATCCACTACAGTAATGGTTTTGATGAATGAACAAACAGTGAATCAATGATGTCATAGGGCATGTTCTTTTCATTCATGTTCAAGAAAATGCTCTCGATCTATGGAATCTACTGTGGAATCTATATCAGGAAACTATTTTTGGGGAGTTAATTCCATGCAACCCAAAGTCGAACAACTTCGACCATACCACCGAGTCGGGCCTCAGGCTGATCTCTTGCAAGCCCTGCGTGCTTCGCTGCGAAGAACGCACGGAACGCGGTGGCATTGGGACAAACAAAGGACGACTGAGCGTCGTTCGTTCAAAACATAATGCAACACTCTTTTGTTAGTCCCTGAGCTGGTGCTGTTTTGCAAGGAACAAACTCTTTGGGGTTTTGGAAGAAGGGGGCACAACCTGTGGATCCAAATATGCTTCAAAGAACAATAGCCTGGTCGGGATTCAAGGCGCATCTCTTGGATCCTTGAAAATTTGTTGATCTATTCCCATAGGCCCATAAGGTTCCAGGCCTCCTCCATTTAGGTTCGGTGGTTGGGGTCGGTTCCAGGTTGTCTAACTACCATCTTTCAATGCGGTTGAAGCTCTGCCAGAACCTTCCAACGTGTTTTTTTTGGACACCGCAAATCACCTCTAAGAGGCTAAGTACGACACCTCTTGGATGGTAATGGTACAAAGTATGTTCACGGAACCTTCGAAGAAGCGTTTTCAACAAAAGACGGGCAATGCAATGCCCCGGATAAGGCAGGAGAGTACCGGTGCCAGTCCGGGCCCCTGAAAAGTGTCACCTCAACTTGCTTTGTTGAGCGCCAAACCAGGCAAACCACGCGCTTTTCAAACTGACCTGTATCTATCTCACCAATCATGATATTCATGGTGTGGGTCAAAACTGAATCCTCAAAACCATAGCTGCAGTTTGACCAATTTCCTTATTAAACTAAAACATCTTCGGCTGTGGTTTGGATATTGACTGCATGATTGCTTTAAAAAGGCCGGTTCCCCTTTCTTACCCACATTTTCATGCCCTCTCTTCGCACTCCTACGTATGGTGCAGGACCCAAACCTGAGCTAAACATGTGATGCACTTCTTTTGGATTTTATGTTGTTTTGGGGTTCAAAAACAATACGTCCACGCAGAACATCGTCCTTGATCACTTGGCTTTTGCTTCGGCAGAAACCTCTTCAAACACTGATAAAACCGTGTTTTTGCCCTTTAGTACGTAGAAAGAAGTGACATTACCAACCATGGACGGCTGTTTTCAAACCATCCAAGTATGAACTAACTTTGCTCCCCAAAAAAAACAACAGCCTGTCACCTGCATATCAACTCCACAAACCCTCCTTCGGTCGCCTGCAGGTGTGGTGTGGGCCTTTGCACGGGAGGTCGCGCCCCATTGCCCGGAGGCCTCGCGCCGCGAACGCGAACGCGTGGCGAAGAAGCGTGGCGAAGGCGAGGCCCGGGGGCGAAAGGAAGGGCTTGGGAGGGGAAGGAATGCTTAGGTGGTGTGGGGTTTCACTTTGGATCAACCTGAGTCGACACATGTTGGAGGCGTGTGTATAAAGGCGTGACAGGTGAACGAGTTTGCACGAGTTGCACGGGATCATGAGTGTGTGCGAGATGTCTGCGTTCATATTTTATACCGTCATATATATTAATATTTGTATATACACTATATGGAAAACCATACCCTTTAAGTCCAAAGACCCAGTAAAAACTGGTGCTGCACCTGATTGAGTAGTGTTTTTTGTAGGACCAACTCCAGTAAAACCAGGTCTTTGCGCTGTTGTTGTTGGGTTATTAATGACTAGTTGATTCTATTTGACCCTATGTTCAACTATATACTCCTAGTATCTCCTAGTAGAGTGAAGCCTGAAACATTGAAACTGAGTATCCTATGAAATCCTACATATATGCAATCATCTGCGACAATAATATCTGCTGCATCAATAATATGTACAATGATGTACACAGTGAATAGTCTAACTTCTTGGCCTAAAACAACGAAACAACGTTCCACATCTCCACAACGACATGGCTCTTTGGAATCTTCGCTCGATCCCAAAACAACAAACTGTATACCCTGGAAGTGGAACAACCATCGTTTTACTAAGGGTTTTACACCACAAAGCGAAAGCCACCATTTTTAACATGGTCTTTGACTTCCAGGGTATACAGAAGCCAACCAAGAGCATCTCCATAAGTCCGCCATACGTCGACGCCTCCAAAACATCGGGCTCCGAAGCGATCGGACGTCGAGTCACAACGACAAAAGAAAGTGAAATCGCCTCGGAACCTGCAGAGCTGACTCCGCCTGGAGGTCTTCGCGCAGTTTCAATTGTGAGAGTTGAGTTGAAAAGGAAGTATGTTATAAATATTAATGTTTTAAAGGACGCGGAGACACGTTCCTGATTCCTGGTACCAGCTGCTGATGTTCGGTATCGCCGTTCCCAGCTGCTCTCCACCACTTGGTGACTCAAGTCTCCAATTGGACACCCCAAACTGGAAGCACTACACTACTACACTCCCTAGAAGAATCATGGGCCAACGTGGATGGCATACTTTCCCCGTTCGTTCGGAGAACATCCTCACGATGTATCACTCACTGCCCGCAGCGACGGATTCTCTCAGGGAGTGTGTACCCTAGAGGGCTCCTGGCCCACATCCTCACAAGGTATATATAGTTAGACCCCCCCCCTGGCACCCACCCCAACCACCGAACCTGAGGATCTGGGACAGGAGCCCCAGGGGTAGATTGGCAGATCTTAGGTCCATTGGCCATTGGTGTTGATTGCTTGATGGGGCGAAGAAAAGACATGAGTGCTCTCCACGAGGTGCCAATCCGGAAAGGCACCGCGGACACCAAGATGACCGACACGAAGCCTCCAGATTTGGGAGGCTTGATGGTGCTCGTACGACCAAAACCCACCATGAGTTGGGATACAGTAGGCGTTTTGGAGTCGAGTTGCCCAAGGTACCTCGAATGAATCTGGGTTTCTGGGGTAGCCAAAGATGCCCAAACACGACGAATGGGACAGCACGAATGGATGCCACCCCAACATGGCCCAAACGGTCAATCAACCCTGACCGGCGAACTGGCCCAAACGCCCGGCGACTGACCGGTCCAGGACCTCTACAAAAACATCACTCTGGGTGAGGCAAAGCACCGGAATTTCCGAATTATTTGACTGGGTTTATAGGGTGATAGGGTGTGTACCGAACTCTGGGTTTATAGGGTGTGTACCTTACTCTTTCCCTGAGTTTCTCCAGTACGGAAGGTCGTTGTCCATCGACCACAGTGAGTCTGACAGAAACAAACTGACTCAACTGAATCAATTCTGCTTTTTGCTCAAAACAAGATTAAATTCTCAGAAAGCTCATCTGTACCAAACGTATACCAGGGTGGTGTGGGTAGTAGTGCCAAACAATTGACTCAGCGTGACGCGGCGTGAACGACACCAACTGACTGTCCTCCCGTGGGTGGCGCGGATCGCGCGTGGCCATGGCGATCGTATCACTTTGAGAGAGTCCCCGACTGCCAGGAGATCGGTCATGCAGCTCTCCGCCTGTTAACATTAGAAACCAATACAGCTACAGTATCATTATGATCATAAATATATAGTGGTATGATGTGATGATGTCATGACATTTCATTTCTGGTATGAACTTGGATGTGCACAAATTATCAAGGTTTCATCTCAAGAGGCGATTTGACGAGTGACGAAATGATAGCACGTTCTTTCTAGGTGTGATGAGGCGAGCCGTGCCGAAACAGCAGGTGTATTGGCCGACCCTGCGAGCTGCATCAAACGCAACACGCAAGCGGGTCGTATCAAGTTTGTCTTGGTTCCAGTGATATCTATAGATATCTCTTGAGAGAAGGGTAGGCGCTCCGCGCTCCCCCGCAAAAGTGACCAAACCCCTAAGAAGCAGTTTTTCACATGCAGGGGCTCTACTCTGTCACTCCTCTGCAATAAATTCGTCTCGACAGCCCCAGATGCAGTGCTGCAGACTGTGACTATACTCTTCAAAGGACCACCCCCGGAACCACCAAACAGCTCACCCAAATGAACAGGGGAGTGACTATCCAACCTTTGTTGTGGGGATACCACAACTTATTCTACATTCCGAACCGCTTCGGGCCTGCTGATGCCTCCTGCGGTGCTTCCTGCTTAAGAAGAGAAGACACACACAGCACGCCACTCCCTGAAACGTCACATGAAACGTCACATGGAAGTGGAGGTGAAAAGCCCTGGACTTAGTCTTGGGATTTCATGGTCATCCTGAAAGGGGCCATCCACTTCCAATGCTAGTTCCAGGGACAACCATAGTTCCTCAGCTCCCATTGTTCAGACGAAGTGCACATCTGCCGCAGAAACCCACGTGTGTTCAACGTGGGCGGCCCCCCTCTCGACTGATTTGGGAACAACATCCCACCCCAAGCTGCAACTCTCATTACTGACTCCCTGAGTTTTGCTGGCAAAATACAGGTTAACCATGGTTAACCATGGTTAACGTGGGGTGTTACTAAGCCCCCACCAGCTCTTAAAGGTGATCCTCTGAGCTCCTGGGTTGAGGGTTTAGTCAACTCCTGGAAGATAGAGCGAAGGAGTTCGGACCACCTCCGCCAAGGCCAACCCGTCCCCGAAACCCGTCGCCGCCCTTTGTTCTCCGAGCTCCAGCCATGTGTTTTGACATATGAATCGATTCCAATCACCATCTGATGACTCTGCTGACTCTACTCAGGAAGACCCCAGAAGGCAGCATATCGCTCTGGGTTCTCCTGAAGGACCACAACGTGACAATTGATCCCCCGTCCGAAACCCCTTAGAGGAGCAAGGAACGTTGTGGAAGTTCCAAGCACAGTGGAAGACAACATATCGTTTCTAGGACAAAGTTCGCTCATGGCGAGGTGTTGCATGGACCAAATGGACTAAACAAAACAGAAAGTGATGGCCTTCTGGACAGCTGCAATATCTGCGACCCACTGGAACAAAGCAGCTGATGTCAAAACAGCCTGGCCCAGCTAATGTCAGCCTGGCCCAAACCGCCAATGTTGATCTGTTGATGAATAAAACCTACCACATGCAAATCTTTGACCATCCAGGTCATTACCGTAAGGGGATTTATGATGTTTGATCCATCAAGAGTCGACCTAAGAGTCATTAATAGACTTCAGACCAAGCAAGGGCTCTTGGCCCACAACCCCAATGTTTCCACCGTCCCATCCTGTAAGGCCCATGGCACTCCACAGTTCTGCAAGCTCTTCAGCGATGGCCTTGCCTTCGGACGCAAGTTCATGGGGCGCAGTTCGTGGCAACTCTGATGAAATTCAAAGGTATGCTTTATGGTATGTTTCCGCGTGCTTTGCAGCTCACAACTCCTATCTACATGTTTCCTATACAATCCTTTATAAGACTTTTTGCATCAAAATGCCTTACCCAAACGTCAGGGTTGCCCTTCAAACGCGAGTTCTTAGTTGGGCCCGAATCAGGCCTTCTCAAGATTGGCCCGTCCTGACCGCCTGGCCTTTGGCAAGGGATTGCTTTTTTGCTCCCACGCTCGGGCCTCAACGATAGACAACGAAGCAAGAGCTGGGCGTGTTTGCAGGACCATCCTCTTGAACCTTTTGGTTTTTGGGTTGACCCCAACATTCTGTTCCCAACAAACATTGTAACATCCTACAACACGTTATAGACCGGTGTTAAGGGGTATATGGGCCCTACACCTTATGTTAGAAACAACATGGTACAAATGGATAGCACAAGTTCAGAATCAAGGGGGTCATTATACCAAACGCAGACTCTTTAAGGCTTGTAGGACATGCTAAGCCTGGCGTGTGTCCCTTCGTAGTTGCTGTTGAGCTGACTTTCTACCGACTCTGTCCAGTCCGCAGCTGTGGACGGTTCAGTGCAACAAACACAACATAATGTTCATATCCGGAGATTTCTGGACGGTTGTTCGAGATGTCTCACCAGAAATCTCCACATCGAGAAGTGCCGGAACGGGTCAAACAGCTGGTTGCCAAACTGTGAGACAGACAGACAGACAAACAGACAGACAGACAGACCTAAGAATCCTAGGTCCTAGGTCCGCCACCAAATCCGCACAGTCCCGCAGAACTTGGACCAGTCAGTCCAGACAGTCGTCTCACCAGTCAGACTTCGGAGACTTGCTTCCAGCTCCGGATGCTGAAAGAAGTTGACACTCTGGCTCACTGACATGGAAATGGAAAATGGATGAAAATGGTCCCTTGGAAAACTTGGTCCCATGTTCCGCTTCCGTGTGAGTGTTGTTCGTGAGTGTCTAACATCGAGCACCCCAGACCCATGAGTCTCAACGGGCTCCACCCGTCCATGTGTCCACGGGGGGAAGAACATCACCACATACACTGAACTCGCCGTGGAACATGGAAGCGGAGGGAACAACACTCCACGGGACTGCCATAGGACTGCCGCCCCAGACAGACCCCCCAGTCAACCACCCCTGGCCTGATCGGCAGTCCTATGGCAGTCCCATGGGTCGTGTCTGGGGGAGGGAAGAACACCTTTTTGGTCGGTCTTCGGAACGGATCCAACGTCCCTCCACTCGAACCAACCGAACCCATCGGATTCCAGAGACTTGTGGGTCCCGTGGGGCCGTGAAGGTCGCCCCGGGTCGCCGACCAGCACCAGGCAGGTTGGGGGTGGTTGGAGTCAAATGGATCAGGGGGGTCCATCAAACATGCAAACATGGGACTGGGCATAATTACGGTCAATCTGCCAGTCCCATGGATGCTTCGGGTACGTCTGGGTCCAGTGGTTTCAAAGTCATTTAAAATGACCAAACCGACATGTCTGTCGACAAATGGAGGCCCATATAATAAAACTCCAATGTCACTACTCCAGTGGGGGTAACCAGCACCATGAATCCACCATGAATCCAGGTTGAGATGAACCCCTACGACTCTCTGTTCCTCCACCTGTTCCTCCACCGGTGCCGCGTAACGATGCGGATGGGATCATCACCTCGGTGCCGCGGAAGGGACCGGAGCGGGAGACGGGGAGAGGGTTCGTCCCCAGCTGTGCCGCCTGTGCCAGTTCCGAGGGTTCAGCACTGATGTCTTTGTCTTTTCGGATCTTAGAGGGTTTTTGATCCAAAGGAATCCAAACAAACCAACAGAACTGTTTGGTTTGCGAAGATCCGGTCAGGGGCCCAGGGGCGGTTCACCCGATTCAAACGGATCATATGATAAAACGACTGCCGGAAGGACGACCCATCGTGGCAAATCGTTGGTTTCTCCGGTCCCTCCATCGAATCGATAGGAAGTATTTGAAATGGGAAAACTCCCTATGTCACAAGGAAGTGTTACAATGATGTTGGGACAATTCTCTTGTTTGACTCCCAATCGGGACAACTCCCTCGTTTGAAGTTCTACACGTATGTTGGTAGCTCAAAAGTACAAGCACGGTTAATCTGCACCGGCCTTTACAGGTGTGTGTGTGTGTGTGAGTGTGTGTCTCTGTGTACTTGCTTGGGAATGCTTAATACAAGTACCACCGCCACCCCAAGTTCAACTGTTTAATTGACCTGAAACCCTCTGAACAAAGCTCCAGAAGCCAGGCCCCTCCGAGAGTGTCAGGCGACGATAGGTGCCCAGAAGCTGCAGGATGTCCTAGCTTCCGAGGAAAGCTGGAGACGACTGTGAGGGTCCGACACGAAGAAGTCGCTGCTACAGATCCTATTAGAGGGGGACACGAGGAAGTCTCTGCACCCACTGGAAAGCAAGGAGAAGAAAGACGGCGCCAGGCTTGTTATAGCAGGCTGGACCAAACTGTTGGACACGACCTTTTGGGGATGTTTGGCCACTAGTTCGATTAGAATACAGTGTCCAATGGTCCAAGACCAACAGGGAGCGTGACAATTGAACTTTGTACAAGCAAATAATTATTTAACTTGCCCTAGGGATCCAAGCACCTTCTCAGAAGGTGATGTGTTCGACACTGTTATGTAGGTGCCAAAACGTCGGGTCCCGTACCGAAGCTGAGGTTCGGTACGAAAACGGATCCCGGTGGCTACCATCAACCTCATCTTTCGACTCTTCACTCGTGACGTGACTCTTTCAGACGAAACCAGCGACTCGTGACGACTCGTGGTGAAGCCGAAGCCATGCGGGAGGTCTTTTTGGATCCAAGGAAAAGGAGATTGGAGATTGATTTCCCCCTGCGAAAATCATGGAAGCGGACATTCTCCCCTGAAAAGACAAATTTAATCAACGTATACCTACAAGATCCTACAAGTACAAACAGGGGTTGTCCAGTTCCATGTTTGTTGCAGGGAGAGTAGACATTGTTCACACATGTTGCAACCCCCATTGACCGTTGACCATCCACACGGCATCCTTGCAACCGGCTTTCGCAGCGGCTTGAGGCCTATGCTTCTTGTTCCTTCCTGTTCAGAAGTGGTGGCCCGATGCTCATTCTTGCTCGTTTTCCATAGTCTTAGCCATTTTATCTGAGCCAAATGTAGAACCATGGCTGGTGGAACATCAAGCTGTCAAGCACCTCAAGCTGTCGCAGGATGATCCTCTGAAGGGTCATTGCACCCTCCAAGTGACACAGTCCCCCAACACCTTTGTACTAGTTCGTAGGATCGGTCGGCCTATCGGAGAGAATGGGGTGCTCCTGGTACCTCCACTCAGGACGTCCAAGAACCATCCCCTTCCTGAAAAACCTGGAGACGAGTCGAGGAGTGCAGTAGAAACTGAAAACCCCTTCCAGACTTGTCGTCTGCCTGTGCCGGCATGAAAAACCCTGAAACACCTTTAACATGATCTTTGATGATCCTTGATGATCTTTGATGATCTTTGCATGTACAGCTCCCGGAGCACATTCCTGGACGGCTTCCCCTCTAATTTTAACACCCACCCCAAGCACCGAACCTCACATAGTCGCTGGAGCGGGCCGATCATCTGCAGGGGCCCATTCCGTTCGTGCTCGGCCCCAACACCGCCGAGCTCTGCGCGAGTTGCGCGAGTGCCGCGCCTGCTTCGTGGCTTGGCAAATGTCGAAGGATGTCGGGAGCATCCTCATTTCGGGCAAAGGTTGCTCCAAGACTGGGTTATGGTGGTGGGTCCTTAAGGTGGTGGTTATATCGGGATGTTGAAAGGACCCAAATATATGGATGTCGAAGGATGTTGAACCCAAAGCTCTTTGAAGATGGACCCTGCTTTCAGGTTTCTGTTTTTGATGGATCTGAAGTACCGGGCAGAACTCTGAACAATTCCCGGTGACAGTGTGTGGCAAGAACTTAAGAAAAAATGAGCATCCATTAAGAGCTTTGGGTCCGCTACCCATCCTCAGTACCTGGACCGTCTGGGAAGGGTTTGATTCCTAGGGGGGATGTCATCTCTCTTGAACCAACTTGTAGAACAAAGCCCACATGAGTTCTGCATGACTTCCGCAGTGCTAAACGCATGCCTTGACGTCAGTGCTTTCGTTGTTTCCACTGCATGGACACCCCACCAAACGAGGTCACTGCGAATGGTGGAAGAGACTTCCACAAGTTGGAGCAACAACTGGCAACCATCTGAAAGACAAGAGTTCGACCGAGGAAGCTTGTTGGCTGTTGGCTGTTGATGAATAAGACCCCCTATGTCTCAAGAATTATTTTAAATCCCCATAGGTCAACCGTCCACATTTGGTTGCTCCGTCCGTAGAATTCAGAGCGGCTCGCGGCTGAGCCGCGCCTAGTCCGGCCGTCCGGCGAGCACGGCACCACCGGGAGTCCTCACCGGGAGTCACTGCGGCCGTGTGGCAAGTTGCCTCCCTCCCCATGTTGCAGGCCTTTGAACCTGCTCGGGAGGGCGAAGCGATGGCCAGGAGGGCGAAGCGGCGATGGCCGCGATGGCCGGAGATTGTGACATCGTGCGGTGTGTTTCATGGATCCGAAAAGCCGATCTGCTCACAGGTGTGTTTCATCGTGGTTTGGTTTCCTCTACATCTCACAGCAACTCACATTGGAAGTCGAAACCTCACTCTTCCATGCGCAAACTAAATGCCTAGGTTGGAGGCCATCGCTCTTACTGTTCTTCAGGTGCAACTCCACTTGGCCAGGCTTCGTCAGTTTCTCAAAGTTAAAGAAGCCACCAGTATTGGCAAGCACATGAAGAATACTGCTCAAAAAGAGGCACGTCTACAGAGTGTCTTACCCTGGATGGCCATCTACCTTCTTCACTTCAATACTTCACATTCTGGGACTGCACACCCTGTGAGGCGAAAGGAAACACTCAAGAATTTACTAGGTCATACTAGGTCCTGGCTTCAGTATAGGGCTGGTGTCCTTATTCTTTAAACAACAAATACCTTAAGCCCATGACCTGTTCGCCGCCGCGGCAGGGAGATCCCACCGACTCCCAAGCCGCCTTCGCTGGAAAATATCGGCGAAACCTTGCTCCATTTGTTCTTGTATGGTGAGCAAGCCACTGCCCCCCCCCCGAAAAAAATAAGGTCATCTGCCAACTGGGCAGGATAACAGTTCCCGTCTGTACATGTTCAAAACGAAAACAAGCGCATTTTGAGAAACGGTTTTGGCGCTGGAGTGGCTACGTACATTCTGGTCACGTTAAACAAACAGGGGCTGTCCGCGTTTTGCTCATTTGGTGCAGAAAACATGTTTTGAGGAAACCGTTAATGACGTGAGTCATGAACAGACTGGTGCATGTGGGTGACTGGTGCATACGGGTACTAGCGAAGTTGGTTTGTCTTTATAGTATATAGTACATGTGTCTGAGGAACAACCACAAGGATTTCTCCTCCTTCACATGACCAACTCTCCCTCTTCCAACCCAAACCTTCCGGAAGACAAAACAGCCGCGGACCCGCTTTTCAGCCCGCCAAACAAACCATGGAACAGCACGGAACGTGAGCGCGGCCAAGCGACATGAGCGCGGCTGCAGAACCAAAGTATCCCATGTGCAGGGCGCCTCCCTGAATGACCGGCGCCGGACCTGCATGGCAAAGGCTTTTCGGCCTCTATATATTATAAGAATTTGTGACATGCGCGCATTGATATGGTGTGCCAAATCGTTCCTGAGTGAAGCTAGGAATATATCGTTTCACATTCCAAATGACATTGTTTCATCATGTTTCCAAAGGCATTTCGTGCCCGACTGCCGTGTCAAAGACCCGTCTTCCAGCATCCATGGGGCCCGAAGAGGAAAGAGAACTCAACGACTCAGTCTCAGGAAACGGCTGGCGAACTCGGAAGCATGATGAGGAACGCATGTGGGTTCGACCATGCCGAGTAAAGGTTGAACTCGGTTGAACCAACAAAAAACAATCCGAACCACCATCCAAGCAAAGCTTGAAAATGGCTGAACAAAACAACAGCAACTAAACCAGTCATTTTGTTGCTGAGGCACCCACCCAGTTTTGCTGGCAGCCGCAGGGGGATGCTTTGGTTTCGCTTCAACTGGGCCGAGGAACTTGCGATGAAGATGCTCGGCCGAGACCATCTGCAAAGCAACCGTAGTTGTTCTGGGTTTTTGAACATGTAGACTGACCTGATTTTTGAGTAATGCATGTGTTTTATCGTGCGAAAAAAACATACACACACATTCACTACTATATCCCGTTCTTTTCACACATGTTCATCCAAATTGACATTTTATGAAATTTTACTCAATTTGTGCTACGATGGGTCAACCGTTTACCGCTTGTGGAGGAAGGTAGATGCCATGTGTGATCCAGGGAAACACCAAACAACTTGGACTAACATCATCTTCCCTGTGAGCTCTCATAATCGCTGATTAGGGAATGTGTGAACATCCCTCTATATCCCACAATTCGTCCATTCAAAGTTGATGACCATCCCAATTAACAGAAGATCCGTCGATCCTGTGGACAGTCCTCCAGTGCACTCCGGCCACGACTCCGGCCGTCAAGTTGCCATGTCGCGAGCCCACTTGAAGGTGATGAGGGAGCCTTGTCTCCAACTGTGCCTAGGCCCAAAAGCACACACACAATCACTCACTCATTCCCTCCTTCCCTCCCTCAATCCGTCACACGCTCATCCACCTACCCTGAGTCTGTTCCTCGTTTCTGACTCTATCCACCCACCTGGCAACATTAAACGTTCAATGAATCATAACCCTCCCGAACAACCAAAGTTGGCTTCGTCCACGTCGCAAATGATCACCGCTCCCCAGTGAAGCGGACTCTGCGACCATCACTGACAATCACCAATTGATTTGTAGCTGATCTGCTGAACAACAAAGTTGTCAAATTAGAAGGTGAAAAAACTGAAGTTGTCAGTTGAAAAACTGGAATCTGTCAGTTGAGAAGAGTTGAATTTCTGTGCTTATGGGTGAATGGTTGGTTACAAACCATTTTTGGGTACATATTGTATTCGACAACGAGTACGATGACTACCATTGCAAATGCAACCGCGACGACGACAACTACGACAGCGGCAACGACAGCAACAACAACAACAACAACAACTACTACTACTACTACTACTATCACCACTACTACTACCACTACTACTACCCCTACCACTACCACTACCACTACCACTACCACCACCACCACCACCACCACCACCACCACCACCACCACCACCACTACCACTACCACTACCACTACCACTACTTTACTACTACTTTACTACTACTTTACTACTACTTTACTACTACTACTACTCCTCCTACTACTCCTGCTACTCCTACTGCCACTGAACGCTACTGCACCTGCTACTGCTACTGCTGCTGCTACTGCTGCTCCTACTTCTTCTACCACCACTACTACAACACCAACACCAACACCAACACCAACAACACCACCACCAACAACAACAACAAGGTTCACGAAAAGCCCGCGAGGTTCATGGACCATTCATGACTTGGATTCACTGCCCAGGAACTGAGAAAAAGCTAAAACATACTCACCATGCCAGGGGATTCACCCACAGGGAACAAAAACATAACCATCATAACCCACAGGTGGGGTAGTGTAAAAAAAACCGTATCAATTGCAATGTCCCGGAGTTATGTTATCGTCTTTTTTGCTCTTGTCGTGGGCTCTGTGGGCGGTGGGCTCTGTGTACGAAACAACAAAGTGCATTTTCTGGCTTTCTGTCGGTGTGAAAGCATCCTTGCTCGAAAGTCAACGGATGTCATCTTGTCCTTTCATTTTTCACCCATGTCCTTTCATGTCCCTTTCATGTTGCATCCATTTCCAAAAACGATGTCCTTCTTGCAGGTGATATGCTCAAAGTTGTCATGTGGGTATCCTTCCAATCGCTCCCATGTTTTTTTGTTTTTTATATGTTGTTTTGTTATCGTTTTGGAGGCCTGTGCAATCTTCCAATCTTCATGGTTTCCTGAACACGTGCATGTATAAGCTCGTGATCCGTTTCTTCATACTCTTATCGTTTTCTGGGCCAGCCATGCATGGGTATGGTTTTTTTGCTGGGCAGGCCAATACACCTGACCGCCCAAACCAGGGGGTCTCTAACCACCAAACCGAGCGGATCCACGGCTCCGCGGCCGAAGGACCTCTCCGCCCAGTGGCTTTGGGAAGCACTGCCTCGGAGCGGTCGCGACCTGGAACGGTCGCGGTATATAGGCGCCGTGTCGAGGCCGTGTCGAGGCACGGGAGGAAGGCGTCCTTTGCAAAGAGGGGGGGGGGGCTTGAGGGGGTGTGCTTTTTGGTGTTCAACTTTCCATTTGTTTAAGACTCAATTGTGTGTATATATATATCATATGAAAGTTAGTGTGTGTATATATATATTATATTTATCAGTCAGTTATAGTCAGTTGTAGTCAAAACATGCGTGGAGTTTGACACATATATATATATATATATCCTAGTACATACGACCTCTGTTCCTGGCAACTTCTTCGGCCCATCATCTATCATCATCGCTCACCCCGGCCAATGAACCATTGTTCTCCTGGGAAACCAATGCATTTGGTTTCTATATATATATATATGGCTTCCTCCTTGGTAGAAATGAATTTTGCAATGCGACTATATATATATATTTGTTTAAATGCAGTCTGAGTATGTCTGAGTCTATCAATAATAGTATCTTCCAATAACTACATATATATATATAATCACTAAAAAACAACAGTGTTTTACCACCAAGTGGTTGCATATGGGGCAACAAATATGATAAGCTAGCGCTTGCATGTGGGGCTTCTCTCGATCCAAATCGCCCTTCGGACACATCACATTGACATCAGGCCATCCGAACGAGTCCCTGCGAAGCGATGAAACCTAAGGGAGTCAATTGACACGAGGCCGCGGAACCGCCCTCCTGGCGGAGATTGAACGACAGCGCACGCTGAGAGAACTGGAACCTGGGCACAGCAGTGGCCTACAAACCCGGTGGAAAGCCTATGTAGCGGCGGGAGATATGGAAAGCCACAATGGGGGGTTGATCTTGAAGATGTGGCAAACTAGGTTATTGCAAAACTTGAACCAAAGTGAAGAATCAAACAACAACATGAAAATCACGGATATAAAAGTGGAAGAAGTGGTTTGGAAGTGGTTTTTGGTTCTGTGATTACTCCAGTTGCGTCCCATGTCCCATGGAAAAGGGAAGGACATTGTTAGCTTGCACCTGAGATTCACATCCTGGGCGACCTCCAGTGAAAGACCCAAGAGGTCTTGGACGTTTCGATTCAACGTCACGAACGGACGTGCCAGTGGGAAAGCAGGCAGTATAGCCTCTTCGAAGGCACTTGGAGGCTCCAAGTAAAGGCAAATCATATCCATCAAATTGGAGCTTCAACTTGCCAGGGGCTCCAATTACAACTTCTGAAGCTCATCTTTGGCTCGCCCGGGTCACCAAGTCGGGCTTGTTTAAGTCTAATTCTAAAAGAACATGGGCTCCTGCAAACAGATCGTGCACGTCTAGGTGCCTCCCCAAAGACTCAAGACCCTAGCTGTGAAGCAAGTGACATGGGACATGGACGGTGCTCTTTTTTTCCGACTCAACATAGCGGTCCGGCCGACACGGTCGCTCCGTTTGGTTTCGCGCGTCCAGGACACTTGCTCTGCATGTTTTTCCATTCGCAGTACCTCAAGTGAGACCCAACGAGGCCCCCGAAATGGTGAAAGCATGTCGCTTTTTGACCGCACAACTGGTTGGGTTTGGCGATTGCAACGGTTCTTTCGCGCAGAAGGCTACCCTCCCCGCCTTGTCTTCGAGGTCTTTCTCGCTCAAAAAATGGGTGAAGGGTCCCATTGCTGCAGGTCAATTTACCAGTAATTAGGGAGACCCCCTTTTTCAAGACCCCCTGGAAGAAGGGATAGACCAAAAGCCCATTGGTTGGAGACCTTTTTGTTAATATACATATATATATATATATATTATATTTAAAACACACATGCACGTGCACACCATATACTCCCGGCTCTACAACCTCCTAAAGTTCCACCCCCAAAGTCCTCCAGCCTGGCTCCGAAGATTGAAGAAAAACCCGGCTGGGAATGGACATAGACCTGCCCTATCCTGCCCCGTTCAAGTTCCAAAACTATATAGTTAACCTGTTTCCACTTCTCGGATAAGTAGGGATAGCTCGTCAGTCACAAGTCTACATGAGTTCTTCACATCACCGTTTCAAGCATCCCTGAGCCTCACTCCTTGCATCATGAGCATCACTGGGACGACAATTCTTCATGTGCAATGGGCAACTGGGAGGGACTATGCTTTGTTTTTCTTATTCTGGATGTCTCCTGCATCACTTTACAGCTGATTAAACGTTGAAAGATTAAAAAAGATATATATATATGTATAAACATAATATAAACAGATTATATACACTTGGCATAGCCTGGTCATCTGAACCATTCCTCCATTCTTCAAATCGCTTTGCAAGCTCTGCACCCTCTCCCAACACCCGGCACGCACCGAAACCGCGTGTGTTCGACAACACGCGGTTTCGAAGATCCGGGGCGCTTCATGGCGAGCATGAGCTCACCATTGGGGATTTCGTCCATGTCCTGGTTGGTGGTGTCAATTCACATTAGGTGGTGGTGGGTTCAATCATCCCAAGCCAAGGTTGAGAAATCGTCTCCAAACCACCACCCGGTCTGGAGATTGTAGCGTCTCCAAACCAGCACCACCCATGAGTTCGGGTAGTGCTAAGGATGACAAACAGATGGGACTTGTGGGGCGTGGGACGTGGTAGTGGGCTCTACAAGGTCTACAAACGATGCCGTGGTGCTGGTCTTTGCCGAATCAATGAATCAAGAAACAAAGCCATGACCGTCCTGAGCCCACATGTCCCTTGTGGGCTTGGATGGTCATTTTGGAGCCATACCCACTTGGAGTTGGACCATCTGTCACATGCAGGGACCGTTTTGAGCGCAAACTGGACGACCGCACCAAAGAAAGAACGGACAGAAATGGACAGAAGGTCGGAAGGTATTGGCCTAGGCATCAAGAACTACGGTCCAGAGGTTCGATGGCACAAGAGTTTCCGATGTTGGGTGGTTTGTATGGACCCCCCATCTATCGATCGGACATCGAACGGTTGGGGTGCCAGTGCCGTCGAGCCTCTGATGGCCCACTGTCCAATACCTGGACAGGACCTTCAGTTTGGGATGCCCCATGACCAATGTAGATCCATAAGTAGCGTAGGGAGTAGGGTATTTCCAGGTGACGGTGGGTCCCGTCTTGGGGCGAAATCGTTGCCGGGCGAGCTTTCGGCTAGAAGACATTGAAGCAGGTCTACTGATTCTTCTGGTCGGTCAAAGTCACATACACCGTATTGGGACACTATTCAGGCGTGTAATAGGGAGACCCCCTAGGAAGAAGGGAAATACACCAGTCAACCTCTACCCATTGGGCCAGCGGTTCTTCAAATCAACATACACACCCATTCAGTCCATGTGAATTGCAACGAGAGTGCCGCCTAAATGAAGAGCATAAATCGAGAGAGCCCAGTCGACACCGCAGGTTGTGCCGAGATCCCCTGCCTATGCAGCTATGATGAGATCCCTAGGCTATGCATAAACATTACTATACCAAAACAATAGGCTTCATCGTCCACCTCTGGCTGTTCTCTTGGTCTTCTTGCAGCTTCGTCCTATGTATTACATGATAAAACATTAAAAAAAACAACAACAATAATAAACGTATATGAGAATGGCTCAAACATAGGAGGTACCCAAAGTACTGTTCAATAAACATACCAGCTGTGTCTTGCTGGCGGGTCGGAACACAAATGTCAGTCCATCATCTCTCCAAAAACAACACCCAATGGCAAGGGTCGTATTATACGAGGGTGCTTCACGCCTCGCCTCAAGTCCAAACCCACCGAAGTCGATTGGCACCGGCATCGGCACCCGGGCCACCGTGAAGATGATCAAGGTCTCGTCCGGCAGGTGCGGCTGGTCCAACTCCAAGAGCGACCAAAGGCATTGCCTCACACGCCGCTAGCAATGGGCGGAGGGAGCGGCACAATGGCGGAGGGAGCGGAGCTTCCAGCGCTGATCGAAAAGCAGAGTGGGAGAAAAACCGAGAGTTCAGCAGGAGAGTTCAGCTGATGCAAAACGTGCTGTTGACTGCTGAAGTCTCAAGATGCTATTGAATGCTTTTGATGGATGTTGAGGTCGAACCGAAGAGTGGAATGGAATGGTTGATGCCTGACTGGAGGGCCAGTTATATCGCTTTCGGGCATACTTCACGCATCTTCAGGCACTGCCTTCTGTTTGTCTTTTGATTCTTGACCAGATCCTCCACAGATCCTCCACCACGGATATCGGTGGATGCTGGCTAGCAATGTGCGGTGCCAGAAAAGTACAACAGGACAGCTCTGACCTCACTGATGTTCACAGAATTGGTCTCAGAGTCTCAGATGATGCAGGTGATCATTGTCCACCACTTCAGCGAAAGTTTGGACCATGATCACCCGTCTGAGACTATTTACAGTGGATTGAGAGTAGATGGCACAAACCCCAAGATGTCTTTTATATAGGGCTTCATATATAAACCACCTTTTGGGGATTGTGCCATCTACTCTCAATCTATACAGTATTTAATGAAACACTGCCAGGTCCGAGATGTCCTTTCGTACCCGGTAGGGCACGAAAAGGACAGATATTCGATCTGCAACTATACAAAGGGGCCCCTCTGGGTGACAGATCCCTTGAACGTGTTTACTGGGCCAAAGATTGAGGTACCTTCGCACACACTAGCAACTCTCCCCGAGCTTCAACAATCTACTGTACATGTGAATTTTCATCAGATTACTGCCGCTACAAACAGGCAGTTGCCGAACAAGCCAGCGACATCTTGAGCAAACCCTCCCAACCTTTGCATGAAAATTACAATCTTGAAGATTAATAGTAACAAGAAGCTACTAGGAACAAGCGCATCGCTTCTAGTAACAAGTGCCTTACTAGTAGTAACAAGGACGCTAGAAAAGTCCTAATCACTCCTTCTCCAGATCAGAAAAGTGGGCCTGTTCTGCAGGACCTCTGAATCTTCGTCTCGTGGTGTGCTTGTTGAACCAGGTCGGTGTGCTTTGAATCACTTTGACAGCACCCTCGTGACCGGTTCTTCGTCAGTGACCGAACTTGATCCCGTGGTTGGTTCGGTCACAAACAGGCCTGTTATAGGTCATTTGGGGATTCCAAAAAGGTCACTTGGAAGAAGCTGGCTGATGTATTTAAGTACAAAGCATGATTCGACTAGAAGAATTCCGGTGGCCATCTTTCTTCCAAAGAAGACAGTCATCAATTATCACGCATGTTCATCAAGCAATAAAGAACAACAAATACACTGAGATATTCTTGTTCAGCCGCCACTTGTGAGAGAATTCACTGCCACCTGATGAGGGAACGACAACGCGCAGAGGACTGCCGCGGGCTGCGCCGCATGTCTTTTTGCCCGCTCACATGGGTCCCGACACGTTGAATCGCCGAGAGGACGCCACCGGAGCTGTTGAACGCCTCTCGACTGACCGCCGGAGCTTGTTCAGCACTTGTTCAGCTTCTTTTTCAAGAGTCTAAACACCCTCCAAAAAAGAGAAGTTCGAACTGACCATTCAGAACAAAACATATCTACTTTGGAAACCTAAACACTGGAAAAAAAGGTGTCTGTCGAAAACCGTTAAGAAAAAAAACTAGGTTTTTGATTAGAACACATCTTTTGGCTAAATCCTTTCTTTTAAAGGGTTTGTTGTTGTTCCGGAGCGCTTTCGGTAGTGCTGCAAAGCAGCGGTGGAACCTATGATCAAACAACACTCCGGAGCGGGGCCCGGGCCTCAAGTGAAGCATCAGCAATGGTTTTCATCAGCACAAGGTTGTCAACTGACTGTTGTAAGATGAAGTAGAAGTTTAAGTTTCTTGGTTTCTACATGTATATGTAAAATGTTGAATCAGCCCCTCTAGTAGAGGAACTGACCATTCAGAATTAATACACATAACAAAATGGCTCTTGGCTGGTTGAATTCTAGGGTCATGGCATTGGCTTTAAGCTTTCTTGGGATTTGAAGAGCGTCCTTAACACAAATGTTCAAACAAAAAAACATCATTGTTTCTACAGAAGACAATGACACCTACCTTCGAGGTCACACACCTCGAGGTTTGGCAACTGCATTAAACTGTTAACATTGTAAGGGAATGTAAGGGATGTGTACATGGTTGTAAGGCGTATGATGATGCTATGTTCTACCTTCTTTTTTGGACACCGATACCCTAACCCTAACCCAACTAACCCGAACCCAACCCCTAACCCCAACCCCTAACCTAACACCTGACAATAAAGAGAGGGGTAAACCGTGGTAAATACTATTTTTTGGGACACACTCGATCCTTGAAGCACTGTGGTCTTGGTAGAAGCAGGGTGCTCTCTTTGTTGGGGAATTTGGAGGGTGTTCCATGGTCTTCCTGCATTGTTCGAAGTTAAGAGATCCTTTCCTCAGATCATCGGCTCTACCATCGTCTACGATGGGCTTTCTCCCGAGAAATATGGCCCACCTCGACATGTTCTCGTCCTCTTGGCCTTCAACATGCTTCAACCTATCTCAAGCATGGCTTGGTCGCCTGAACGGCCTTCTGCACGCCATGTCACAGGCCAGGTGACGTAGTCGTCCAAGCGGACAGAAAAGCCATAGACTCGACGGACTCCTTCACTCGTGTTCTGGTAGAATCCTGGTAGATCTAGAAGAATCACGTTCTGTTTCCCAAAAAAAATATGCCACGGCCACCGTCGCACGGTCAGACCGAGGCAGGAAGAGGAGTGTTTTTTGTTGGAAGACCTAGCGGTGCGTTAGTTCGCTGTGTCCCAGTGCTTCCGTTGGGAACCATTTATCTGAACACTGATGTCAAGGCCCACAACAAGAGACAACGAGGCAGAAAACAACAACAAAAGGGGCATGGTTCAGCCGCAGGAAGTCTAATCAGCTAGTGAATTCAACAAGCAGCTAGTCTAATCTGCTAATGTGCAAGACAAACACATGAACCCTGAAGACCTTTGAAGAAAGACCACGGTGACGGTTTGGCCAAACATGGCCAAACCCCGAAGACCTTGACCCGTCTGGAGACCGGAGGCGACGTTCCCGGTGACCGTGGTGGGCCCGAGGGGGTCTAGAAATCGAGAAACATCTGCCAGTCCTATGGAATCCACATGGTTCTTCAAATGTCTCATGATGTCTTTATGCATTCTTCGATCTGAATCATCTTATTGATATCCTCCTTCGCACCAAAATCAATCCTCCGTCGCCCTTTTCACAGCTTCTTCGCGCCCGAAGAAGGGGGTTTCCCCACCGCACCTGGCCGTTCTTCACCGCCCCAGCAGATCTAGCTCTTCCACCAAACGCCCACGCGGTACTCCGAACTACACCGTGGTTCACTCCCCGCCGCCTGGGCGAAGGGCGTGGCGAAGGCGCCGTGCCGGTTGGGTTGGCCGGTTGGATAGGTCAAATAGGAGGCTTGGTGAACTTGAGCGCCGGCTGGCGCGTATCTTATGGTTTTGAACTAGGAACTCCTCCTCCGCCAGACTTTGGGCAGTCGATGTTGCTATCTGCGACCGATCCGCGGCGCCTTTGGCTTCGGTCGGACGGTCGCGACGTCCCGAGCTGCGGGGTGGACCGGTCGGCGGACTTCTGGCCGATCCAAGTTCTTCTGGCGGAAGGAGTTAGATATCCATTGAATGGCTATGATGGCATCTCCTCTTCGACCGAAGGTGTAGAACATGCTCCTCGTTAGGCGGAATGCGGAATGCTACAAAGGCAACTGAGCTAAGCTGTTTGCGATGTCCCTTGCATCACACAACCTATCATTTGGGTCGTTTCACGCTGTGAAACGACCCCAGTCTTTTGGGAGACTCAGGCTACGTCACGCCCTTACCACTTCCACGACGGGACGGACCGGCGCGACGGAACACCAAGCGAACGGCCGGCCTTGGGATGCTTGAAGGCCGAGTGGAACACAGTTTGCAGTGGTTTGGCTCCGGTCGCGGTGGTGTCGTGGTGGAATTGCCGGAAGACCAAGACTTCATCCTTGGTCATGTCCTGCGACACCAATCTCATGCTCCTAAAAGGAGGAGATTGCACCCTCAACATCCCCAAGAATGACATGTTACTGTGTGGTTGATCATGTTGGAGGCCCATCCTTACCTTAGATTGGCTCAGGGAACTGGGGGCGAGGGAAAATAGACATCACCCATTACGAGCAAAGCCAGGTGATAATCCTATTATACCCAAACACCCAGACATTCCATGGGACTGGAATATCTGCCTACATTGACCCCGACTTCAACCACCCCTCACGTGATTGGCCAATATGAATATGCCATTCCCAGACAGGTCTTGTGTGGAATATCCTGCAAGATCTATCTCCGTAGAAATTCCGCTTTGGCTCCAGCTTTGTGTTCACAGAGATGTTCGCTGCAACACCCGTGCACACCCGTTGCAGGGTAGAAACCGTCTAGACGAGGGGAGGGTCAACACGTGCACGAGGATGTGCGGGAGTTCGGGAATTTGCCAATTTGGTAACTCATACCAGGGGGGTCCCCTATAGGTGCAAAATATCCCCTTAGCCTGTGTGTGTGTTATATTTTTCTTAAAATGACTTTATATAAGGGGTAGCCCGGTAGCCCTGGTACTTGGACTTCTTCTGGTTCTACATGGCACTGAATCCAGTGAGTCTGTGGTAGCCCAAAGTCTTTATTGTCCAAGCACACCCACTGATATACTCGGTAAATGCATTTAGTCTGTTGATGTCTGCCCAACAAGGCTTACCAGTGCTGAGTAGAAAGCGATTCTCGGAAGATGGACCCTTGGAAACTGGGACAACCATGCTTCTTTATGAACAGAGTCTGTAACAGAGTTTCCCATCCATCTCCCTCTCCCGTCCGGATAGTAGTACCAGCAATGATTGGAGGAAGTCTTCCTCAGAGCGGATCTGGAACAAGTAGCA